TCGCTTCACTGGCCCATGTTGGTATTATCATTGCGCTCTTCCCAACTGAGGCAGTTGCTCGCCGGCCTTTGGACGGCCACTCACGGCGGCTCACCGAAGCTCACGAAATCTCATGCCCGCTGCCGGCCAGCCCCACTGCAGCCTACACCGGTGACAGTGACTCACGGCAGCCCAGCTCCAGATCAAGCTGTTGTTCACCATCTTAGCTGTAGAGGGCGCAGCGTCACTGGCCCTCATGTGGGATCTAAACCCCCTGCTGCTCAGAGCTGGCATCCCAAGCCAACTCCTAACCAATGTACCACTCAGTCGGCCCACCATCGGCGTAATTTTAATAGTTTTTTCTTTTCTTAAAATGTGCTTTCATTTTTTTGGCACCTTCTGTATTGCTGAGTCTAGGTAAACACCTTTTATTAGAAATCGGGAATGGAAGATGATTACTAGTTTCAAATAATACTATTTCAATGACTGATTTTCCTGGATGAAACAGCTTAGCTTAGATAACGTTCCTGATAAAAGTCTCTGCTAGATTAACATTTTGCACATATCGCTATCTACTTTCACATGTCCTTAATTGTAATAATGCACTAAAGAATCCATATCGAAAATTTCTTATTCAGCTAGAGGTAAAATATTATAATAGCTGTAAGTTTGAGAAATATTTCCACCTCATACCTCTGCTGTGTTTGGGTTGGAGCAGAGAATCTTAGCATCTTTTCCACAGCTCAGCAACAATTCAGGATCTGCCATGCTCCAAGCAATTGCTAAAATCCCCCTTACAAAAAACACATAGAGATGACAAAATTTTTAATTCCGAAAAAAAACAAATGTCCAACTATTTCTGTCTAAGCTTTAAAGACACACACTGCTAAAAGAGTATAATTTCATATAACCGTTCTGGAAAGCAATTTAGTAATGTGTATGCTCTTTGATCATGACAAAGATATTCAGTATACTATGAAGTGTATGATGGCAAAAACTAAAAACAAATGCCCAACAACATAGACTATATGTAATAATAAATTACAGATCATCTTTTAATGAGAAAATGTGTAGTTAAAAATTATGTTGCAGACAAACAAACAAACTCACAGACACAGACAACAGTATGTTGGTTACCAGAGGGGAAGGGGATGGGGGAAGGGTGAAGTGGGTAAAGGGGGACAAATACATGGTGAAAGAAGGAAACTAGACTTTGGGTGGTGAGCACACAACGCAATATACAGATGATGTGTTACAGAATTGTACACTTGAAACAATGTATTAACCAATCTTATACCAATAAACTTAATTTAATTTAAAAAATATGTTGTAGAAATCTATTTTTTATTATGTGGTGCTCACAATTGAGGAAAACAGGTCAACTATGTACATAAATTTGTATAAAATATATATAACTACATTAAATATTTGCATACTTAGGGCTATGTACAGTAAAACCTTGGACTGCAAGTAACTTGGTTTGCGAGTGTTCCACAAGACGAGCAAACATTTCTAATACATTTAACGTGGTAAATGAGTGATGTCTTACAATACGAGTAGTTTGTTTCCGGAACGAATTATGTTCACAAACCAAGGTATTACTGTATATATAAATTAAGACATGCACAATAAAATGTTTTACTGATGGATGGGTAGAAAGTGTAACTGTTTCATATTTTCTACTTTTTATCTACATTTTCTAGTTTTTGTTATCAGAGAAGTTCTCCTAGCACGTGAAGTACTTTTAATTAAGAGAAACATCTAAAAATGTATCTCATAAAAAAGTATTACAGGGGCCAGCCAAGTGGCTTAGTTGGTTAACAGCGTAAGCTCTAAGCAACAGGGTCGCTGGTTCGATTCCCACATGGGCCAGTGAGCTGCGCCTAAGCTGAGCTGCCACTGAGCTGCGAACAGGTGGCAGGATGGCTCAGCTGATGACAGCACATGCTCCTAACAACAAGGTTTCCAGTTCGACTCCTGCATGGGATGGTGGGCTACGCCCACTGGCAACTAAGATTGAACACGGCACCTTGAGCTGAGCAACTAAGACTGAACATGGCTCCTTGAGCTGAGCGGCCGGATGGTGACTGGACTTTGAGCAGAGCTAGCTGCACCCTCCACAACTAAGATTGAAGGACAACAACTTGGCTGTTCCCCTTCCCCAATTCCCCAACACATTTCCCCTTCCCCAATAAAATATTTTTTAAAACGAGAGAGATTTGTTTCTTGTTTAAAATCAATGAACACATATGCATAAACTCCCTGGGTACCTGAATAACAATGATAGGAAATTTGCTAAATTACTAATTAAATGTAATGCTACTAAAACTAACATGAGAAAATTCTCCTATCTTTTTAGAGCATCCACACATTAAAGTTGAAAGCAGAATGAACCACCTAATTTCTCAAAAATGTTTACTTTTACTTTTTTTTTTTTTTAAGATTTTTATTGGGGAATTGGGGAGATGGGAACAGTGGTGGGGAATTGGGGGAAGGGGAATAGACAAGTTGCTGTTGTTTTGTTCTTCAGTCTAGTTGTGGAGGACGTTGCTTCTCTGGCCCAAGTTGGCACCATCATTGCGCTCTTCCCGGGCAAGNGACTCGAACCGCTGTTGCTCAGAGCTCAAACTCTTGAGCGAGCTCTTAACCAACTGAGCCACTCAGCCGGCCCTGCTAACGTATCTCTTTTGATTCAACTATTAGCTATACGTATTTGCCTCACCTTCTAAGTTTGAAAGGGTGGCAGACTATGCCACTTTTTCAAAATATGCCATTTGCCATAATGATTATTTTGAACTTTTACAGACTACCTGAAAATGAGCAGGAGCAAGAAAGGTACCCCGCCCTCTTTTCTTCCTGAAAGCAGATGAACCTCCCATGTGAGAGCTGCTCTCTCTGAACCAGGAGGAAAGGGACATTCTTATCACCAGAGATGGGAGGAAAGGCTGAGAAAACTCGATGCGAACAGGGCTGGTTAAATAACAATTTTTTCCTTTTAGTTTCTCTGTATATTTTAGTTACTTTTCCACAACGGCCATTTGTTCAACCTAGTATATAAACACTTAGGTTTTGTCACTTCTTTGGGTTTTCACTTTCCTATGGGGACCCCCTCTCACGTACATACAAATATCTGAAAGCTTTTCTCCTGTTAATCTGCCTTATGTCAATTTATTCCTCAGAAAAAAAACCAAAACTTCTTTCTCAGGCCCAGCCAAAAACCCTAGAAGGGTAGATGCAAAGTTCTGCCCCCTCTGCTACACTTACAAGGAAAGCACTGTGTCTATTTTACTCTTGTATCTCCTACAGTACCCAATATCTGCCTTGTAATATCAAGTAGAGTTAATATCTGATTAATATATTCATAAAAAATATAGGTAAAGAAGGAAACACAGGACCAAATTTGGTTCTACTCAGTAACTTTTGTATTATTATGGTCTTTGTATAAACTTATTTTATTAAATGTCTAATATGTTCAAAATGTTTGTTATGTCAGGAATTGTAGGAAATACTGAGACATAAAAAAACACAAACCACTATCCTTAAGAAACAACGTGAACACCAAACTGGACACAACAGGCACATGTAAGTGCCAAATGAGGTGCAGATAATACTACACACAGTATGGAACTTCACAGAAGGGCAAAACCACTGGGTTTCTCCAAGTTCTAGGAAAGTATGGGAAAACTGAACTCAGAAGACAGACCTAAACTGAGTTTCACAAGATGATCGCACACAAATGTTCACTGCAGCACTATTCACAATAGCCAAGAGGTTGAAGCCACCTAAATGTTATTGATAGATGAATGGAAATTATATATACAATGAAATATTATACAGCCTTTTAAAAGAAGGAAATCCTGTCATACACTATACATGGATGAACCTTGAGGACATTATGCTAAGTGAAATAAGTCAATCACAAAAAGATTAATACTCCATGATTCCATCTATGAGTTACCTTAAATAGTTGAAGTCATAGAAACAGAAAGTAGAATGTGATTACCAGGGGCTAGGAAAGATAAAATAGGCAGTTGTTGTTCAATAGGTATAGAGTTTCAGTTTTACAAGATGAAAATGTTTGAGAAATTTGTTGCATAACAATATGCATATAGTTAACATACTGTACTGTAAACTTAAAAATGGTTAAGATGGTAAATTTCATGTTATGTGTTTTTACCATAAAAAAGAAAAGAAATTGGCAATTTAAAAAATGCTAGAAGGAAGGACACAACCATCTCCAAAAAAGAAAAGGAACAAAGGAAGGAGAGATAGAGAAGACAAGCTTAATAAGAATAGAGGGTGGCGGGGGGAGGCTGGTGTGAAGGTTGCACAACAAAGTGAATGTACTTAATGTACTTAATACAACATGAATAGTATGTTTTAAAATGGTCAAAACAGTAAATTTTATGTTATGTATATTTTGCCACAATTAAAAAGAAAAAAAGGGAGTAGGTCTTAATTTTCTTGAGAAACCATTTTAAATGCCAAGCAAGCCATAGACACAACTCAAACTAATCTTCTTCCATCAGAGCGATACTATAATAACATTTTTCTGTGGTAAGTCTTTTGTGATTATGGGCCACAAAAACAATCCACCTACTGAAAAGGAAGCACCAACAGGCCTTCGGATCCACTTGGGGGGCTTCTTCAGAGGCAACACTATACTATGCTGAGCAGTCTGCTGAGGAATTTGTAATGGAGGAAGGGGCTGTCCTGTGCCAAAGGGGTCAAGGTTCCCAAAAGATGATGAAAGCTAAAAAAAATAATAATAATAACATGAGAATTTCTAACTTATACAAGTCTATATTATACATTTTTAAGTCATATCCAAGAAATTTTTATCACAATTATCCAATTAATCACTATTATTGATCAGTAACCACTTTCAAAATAATTACATAGTTAAGATGACTTTTTTCAGTTGCTATAATAAAAAACTAATATTTTCTATTACCTTGTCAACTTGTTTCTGCCTTAAACCATCTGTGCTCCCTCCCATGATAGAATAAACACTGATACGCCCATCAAAGGAAGCAGCTGATAAGACAGCAGGATTTCTGGGACACCACTGAATATCAAAGCACCACTGTGTGTTGGTGGGAAGTTCATATAACACCTAGGCCAAAAAAAAAAGTCAGAAAATGGTATAGCCACTTTATAGCCAAAACACCTAGATTAAGATGACCAACAAGTCACAGCTTAATTAAACATTTTTAGAAAGTGTCTATAGACAGGAAAGACAATTATAAAATTTTTTTGCAAGTACAAGAAAAATCCATTTAAATTTGTGTGTAGAACATATAAATATATATTATAAAGTATTATATTCTTTCTGTATAGCTCAGAAGAGAGATTAATAACCTATATCTACTGATTACCGAAAGTTAAAAAGGGTTTTCAGGAATGGTAAAGCAAAAAAAAAGACCCAAATCCTGATACTCCTACTTTGAAGGCACCTATTTCCAGAAACCGCATGTTAAACAAATCAAACCAACTACAGAGGGTACCAAAAAATATATACACATTTTAAGAAAACACTGTATCAAAATTTAATCCTCAATATATACTAATAAAAGATGAATACAAGTCATATTGGACTTCTGCAATTACAAGAGGTGCTCAAAGTGGTTACCATCAGCATAAATTTTTTTTTTTTTTAAAGATTTGATTGGGGAATCGGGGAAGGGGAACAGACAAGTTGCTGTCCTTTTGTTCTTCAGTCTAGTTGTGGAGGAC